CCCTTGCCCGGTACCCCTGCCTGGACACGTCTCTGCTGCTGCAGTTCTACCTGTGCGCGGTGAAGAGCTGCACGGAGGCTGCCATCCTGGTCCACTACAAGCACACCGTCCTCGCCTTCCTCACGTGCTTCATCTTCGCTAGCCATCTGCCCGAGAGACTCGCACCAGGACACTTTGACTACATTGGTAAGTGCCGAAAGGGTGAGTTGGCATTGTTTTCTCATTATTTTCAGGAAGAAAGCGCATTAGTGCATGAGTGACTCCCAGAGGCTATAATATATTCCCTGCTGGAAATTCAAAATGTAATTTTCCGTACAAGATACAGCAGTCCTGCCTAGGTAAAGTGGGAACAGCTCCGGAAGCTGGTTCCAAAATGTTTCACAGAGGGTTTCATGGCTGCAAAGCACTCATTTCTCATGCAAAAAACCTCACCTGTGGCACGGCGGTGCTGCACGGTGCCATGTCAGGGCACAGCAGGAGCAGCCACCAAGGGGACTGGATGGCAGCCCTGGCCGCATCGGGGCTTCCCCCGCTCCCCCCGCCACGCCATGCACAGGCACCGCGCTCCTTAGCACCTCGCGTGTGCCAGGATCGCAGCAGCGAGCCGCTCGTCCCTCGCTTCCATTACAGCCGGCTGCGTTTTGGAAAGGAAGATCTCTGTGCTCTGGTGGCGCAACGATAAAAACCAGAGAAATTAGTAGAATAAATATTTAAACATGTGATGCCCGGAGGCAGTGGATGCTATGCAGAAGGTCTGCTGAGCCCTCACGGCGGTGTTTTAATGAAAGCCCAAGGAGTTTCTCGGTGAGCGCTTTTGGCTTTGTTGCAGGGCACAGCCACCAAGTTTTCCACGTGTGTGGGATCATCAGCACGCACTTCCAGATGGAGGCCATCATGATGGACATGGCCGAGCGCCACAACCGGCCCCTGCCCCCCTCGCTGCTTCCCTCCTCCCTGCAGACTCTCGGGTCGATGGGCATCTGCGTGGCCGTCAGCCTGGCTGTCATCGGGCTCTGCTCCATGTCCCTGCGCTTCATCCCAGAGCCTCTGCAGAGAGAAAAACCACACGGGCATTAGGCTTCGGGTCTAGACAGTACTTATGCTGCTCCAGCGGAGAGACCCGAAACAATACGTGTATGGTATGGATGAGGAGCCGTTTGTTCACCTACGCTCTCTGAGAAAATGTTTATTCATGATTTTCTCAAGAGCGAAACATCTTGCACTGGTTTTTGTACATATAGCTTTAAAGCTGGGAACGGATTATGAAACGCTTTTAATCAAGTTGCTGTTTCACCACAAGAAATATTTAAAATAATCTTAACTTTTCCTGTAAAAGGGAGATACGTGCTAATACTTTCCAAAGCAATAGGCATTCATCAGGTCTGCCTTACGGAGGAATCAGGGAGGCAAGCGAAGGTGGATAACGCTGATCATCTGGTGACGCAGATGTCCTTGTCGTCAGTTTAGACCAATAGCCAAGACTCCTCGGCAAAGGCAAGAGCAAGGGCTCTCCCAGGGGCTCCCTAACTAAGGTTTTCACCTTGAAAGTGGCATTATTTTGGAGATTAAAACCTCAAATATCTGCCTTACACTAAACCCAAGTGCCTGACAGATGTGGGATTGAGAGAGACCAGGGTTTGCCTATGTTTTAGATTCAGCTATTTTTAATCATTACCCAGAAAGAGTTATTCTAGAAGAATCCTCCATGGGACGTTCTTCCAGAATAGCTTTTTTTGGGTTCAGTTCTGGCGCATAGGTAAGTCCTGGGAAGTTAATTCCCACGGGAGAGCTGAGCTCCCGCCTGCGTGGGCGACGCGACTGCCCGGCGGCTGACGCAGCCCCAAGCGCCAAGCCCGGGAGGCACCGTCCCTCCCTCCTTGCACCGGACGCCTCCGTCCGGCGCTCACAGCTGGGCTCCTTCTCTGACCTCATTTGTGGCATCAAACCGAAACGGAGGAAGAAATACCTGCACCCGCGAGGTGGGGACGCGGGCCTCCTTCCAAGCGCTGTTTCGTGCCGAGTGTTTAACACGGGCGTGAAGCCGCGCTATTCAGAAAAGGTGTTTGACACCTTGAGGGCGAGGGCTGAGAAATTCATGACTGCCACGTCGAGGTGTCCTCTCCCGGGTGTTTCTGGAGGCAGGGTACTGGGCTGGACTGACCCGTGGCCTGAGGGTGTGACCGATGGCAGAGCCATCACCTCTGAACCTCTCGAGTTTCTGGTCCCGCTCGCATCGAAGAGTGTTTTTCTTATCAGGAGTGAATAGGATGGGGGCATCTGGGGAGAATAAAACATCAGCGGAGCAAGAAGCAGGAGCCTGTACGGCATAGAGATGTGAGCGTTGTCGGATGAAACGCGGGAGTTAGAACAGCTGAGCTGGTGACGCGCCGCGGGTCAAAACCTGGAATTTTAAAGCATTTCCAGAGTTAGACCTCTGCTCGGCCAGCTGCAGCCTGACGCTCCGGCCCTTGCTCCTTGCTGTCCTTTGCTGCTGCGTCTGGATTTCAGGGGCAGAAGCGGAGAGGTCTGGGGAGAGCCAGGGGGTGGCAGCCCGGACCGGGCGAGGGGGAGGCAGCCCGCGGGAGGGCTCGGCCGGCGGCTCCGCGACGCAGGCTGTCGCGTCGCCTTTACCTGCCGCCGCGCAGGAGGTACAGCAACGTGTGCTGCAAGGGTTACTGCTAGGGAATACTATCGAGCTTCTTGATAATCATACGGGTGTGTAATTTGTTTTGTGTATAATTACCTCTATCAGGGTATAATTGATGCACTTTTGAGTGACAATACAACAGCTCGTTAAATATATTACGGGACAAATAAGTCTTTTGAAAAATAGCTTGCTTTTGAAAGCTGACCAAGATTTATGTTAATATTTATAAGCACTGGAACATAACTGTTTATTCAACAGTTTTATTTCATTAAAAGAGAAAACTAATATAACTATCGCACTGATATACGCTAACCTGATTTGTATAGTTTCATAAAAACACCGTCTGTGAAAATTAATCACTTCAGAGATAATTGCTGATAATTGCAAAGCTTATTTACCTCGTGTACTTGTGTGACAGGAAAGGAATCTGGCTCTGCGTGCAAGAGGTGATTTAAGAGTCTGTAAAATTTACACGAATCATTATAACTTTTTTCTTGGTTGTTTAACTTTTTAATTTGGGCACTCCTCTTGTCCTCTTCAGGTGAAATTATTTGTAGGGAAGCTACATTAAAAAATAGAACACCGTATTATACATTACCATAATCCCTCTGGATCCTGCAGCGCTTTGCATGGATCCTTTGTCTGGTGCATCCTTTACATACTAAACGAGTGAATGTTTGCTCTTGAAGCAGCCCAGGTCAGCCAGATTTCTTGTTCCATTGGAGACAGGCCTTCCAAAAGCTATTCGATGTACGAAATTTTATTCACATAAAGAAATAAAAACTCCGTGTCAAATTGTTACGAGTAAATAATACAGGCTATTTATTGGCTGGAACATGTTGTTTCGTTGTGTGTCTGCACCCAGTCCAGAGCAAATCCCAAACAAAACTGTTACCTTTACGACCAAATCCCAGAGAACCTCACTCATCTGCTCTCCAGCCAAGGAGATTTTACTGTGCTGATGAACTACGCAGACACAGCAGATTTTTGGGTCTATCGAGTTCCTCTGAGTTAAGGTAAAAGGCGAATCTGAATATTCCTGAATAACACTTAATCCAAGAGACGCGTGTCTTTTTCCAGAAGAGAATAATGCGCAATGTGGATTAAAAGGAGCTGGAATGGGGGTATGAACGTGATGGCGGCGGGAGTGAGGACTGTCTTCTGGAGCAGCTCCCAGGCGAGGCAGGCGCTGTCGTCGGGCTGGCGGTACCTCCAGTCCTGGGAAATCGTTACCGCGTTTGTTAAACCACCTCTCCTCCGGTGCCGATGCTGAACTGCGCTCTCATCCGTCCTGCGTGCGTCATTTTCCCGGTGGATATCAGTACGCTGGCTTTCATTTATTAAGTCCTGAGCAGTCTGGGAGCGATGAAACGCCGCTGTGGCAGTCAGCGGAACCGTGAGCGGAGCTTTTTGCTGCAAGTGCGCCTTCAGGAGCTTTTATCCGTTTGTTCCCAGGGCTTTGGGAATTCAGCCTGGTTTTTAGGGCGGCAGCCCCGTCTCCCCAGTTCTAGGGTGCAGGGCAAGGGGACCGCATGCGGGGCTCTGGTTCTGCTCCTGGGGAGGTCAGTGCAGTTTTCACCGTTTGTGTCCTTGACGTGTGTTAGGAGAACGTTACGAAATGTCTCTTGTTTCAACGCATTTTAAAACACTGTTTGAGAAGTGAAGGTTGGCCCGGGACGGTGGCTTGTTCTGATAGCGGTCACAGTAAAAAAGGAAAGACAGCTGGTTGGGACTTCTTTGCGCTTTTTTTTCCCTTAAGGGGGTAATTAACAATGAAGTTAAATTGCACTAAAATTTGATTGGAGTCAGTGGTTTAAGCGAGATGGAGTTCAACCCACTGGAGGCCTTCATTAGAATCACAGAACCGTTTAGGTTGGAAAAGACCCTTAAGATCATCGAGTCCAGCCGTTAACCCAGCGCTGCCAAGCCCACCACCAAACCATGTCCCCAGGCACCACATCTCCCCGGCTTTTAAATACCCCCAGGGCTGGGGACGCAGCCACCTCCCCGGGCAGCCTGGGCCAGGGCCTGACAGCCCTTTCGGTGAAGAAATTTTTCCTAATACCCAAATTGCTGCTACCCAGGGTCAAACCCCAAGTTACTCCATCCCCTACCCGTTTCCCCATTTGAATCAGAAGTGCGTTTCCTTCACAGGAAGAAGTTCTTTCGATGGACTGGCTTGGCCGGGCTTTTTATGCCTGCCTTAGCTTCGCATTTTAGGCTGTTTTCCACCATTTCTCTTTTCCTCCAGGCTAGGAATTAACTCATTTCCCTGCAGGCAGGCAGCGCCTCGGCCACAGGGAGGCCCTGGCACAGAGAACTTGCCGGATCGCACCTCTCCTGCTGAGCCGCAGCCTTTATGTGCGCTAAGCAGAGAAATCAGGCAAACACCACACACGACAGAGCGCGGGCGGCCTCCCGGGGGGAGGCCTCCACAGCCCGGGCCCCGAACGGCTCCCTTCCCGCGGCCCCGCTGGGCCTGCGCGGCACCCAGAGCCCTCCCCGCGGCGGCTTCACCCCTTTCCCTGAGGCAGGGCCCGGCCGCGGCCTCCAGG